ATTTTGGGTTTAGGGTTCAGGGTTTAGGGTTTAGGGTTCAGGGTTTTGGGTTTTGGGTTAAGGGTTTAAGGTTTTGGGTTTCGGGTTTTGGGTTTAGGGTTCAGGGTTTAGGGTTTATGGTTTTGGGTTTAGGGTTTTGGGTTTAGGGTTTTGGGTTTAGGGTTTTGAGTTTAGGGTTTTGGGTTTAGGGTTTTGGGTTTAGGGTTTTGGGTTTAGGGCTTTAGGTTTAGGGTTTATAGGGTTTAGGGTTTTGGGTTTAGGGTTATGGCTTAGCTGCTCTTTTTTTGGAGTGGGGCTATACAGGGTCAGGGTCCAGAGTTTAGGCCAAAAGGCTCTCCCCAGATGCCCTATACACTTTAGGAAAGTATAGCCTTGAATCAGAGTATTCAGTTCTGTTTGTGAATTTGAGGCATTGTCTTGATTCAGTTTCCCCGTACACTGAAAAATCCCCAAGTCCCTCACAACCGCAGGAGACCCTACAAGACCCTTATGCAACCTGTTGTATCTCAATGCCTTATAAAAGGCTTAAACCCCTGAGCCCTAAACCATACATGAACCCTGAACCCTAAGCCGTCACAAAAAAAAAAAAAAACGCCCCAACCTCCGTGCGAGGAGTGAGGTCGCCGTAGCCGACCGTCGTCAAGGCAACTGAGGTGAAGTAGATGCCGTCCAAGAAACTCCTTCAGTCTGATCTGCGGGCTTTTGATAAGGGTTTAGGGTTTAGGGTTTAGGGTTAAATCTGATCTGTGGGCTTTTGATAAGGGTTTAGGGTTTAGGGTTTAGGGTTTAGGGTTTGATCTGATCTGTGGGCTTTTGATAAGGGTTTAGGGTTTAGGGTTTAGGGTTTGATAACTGTAGGCTTTTGAGAACTGTAGGCTGCTGAATGTGATAAGGGTTTAGGGTTTAGGGTCCTTCAGTGTGCAGGGATCTGTACTTTGAGGTTCACGTATGTTACAAGTGGGGTTATAAGTAGGGTAACTTTAGTTGCAACCCGTAGCAACCCATGAACCTCCAAGTAGGCTGTTGATAACTGTAGGCTTTCGATAAGGTTGTAAAGGACTTCGTGCAATGTATCTCAAGTTGTTTGTAGGGTTGCGTATGGGGGTTGCGCTGCCTTTTGTTATGCAGGTGTTGCGGGTCTAATACCTTTTTGTCTGAACTTTGTCAGGAGGTTTGTAGAATTCCATGCGATTTGAAGCTTTGGTTTCGGGCGAATGTTTATTGTCAAGCTGCCCAGTAAAGACGTGCATTGATGTAGGGCACAAGTAATCTCTAGGTACAAGACGCTCTGTTAACCGTTTTTGCAGCTAGGAAAAAGACCGGAAACTGAAACCCTCAACCGTTTATACAATCTTCCCCTCCTTAGTACTTGCAAACCGTAAGTCCTAAAGCTACAGCCCTATAAACCTACACTCTTCACGCTATACCTAAAGTCTCCATTGTAGTTCCATTTTTGGCCTGCCTTAAAGGATGCTCAATCTACAACTGCTAAAACCCAGAAGCAGCACCTACCATGGAGACTATATTTTCTATAGATCCAGGTAACTCTGAGAAGCGTGCCCTGATGGATGTTCTTGCAGCCCAGGTTACGGGTTAGGGCCCGTAGAAGCTTGTCCTTAACCCTAAACCCTAAACCCTTAACGCTAAACCCTAAACCCTAAACCCTCCTTCTCCTGTCTCTTCCGTGAATGCAAGTGCTACAAGCGAAGGCCTCGAGGCCTCGACTCGGCCCCGGG